CAGTCAAAATGTGCTCGAATTAAGATAGATTTTTCCAACTTTGACCAATTTAATTTGTCATTATTGTTTGCAGTGTATGAGGTGGCGGAGGTCCCGCTTCTGTTAGTTGAGGCTGATCGCCACCAAGTGTGAGTGAAAGAATAATGTACAAATCTTTTAACCTACTTTGGGTTCCCTGCCTGTGAACGTCTTAATACAAATATTACTTGGATGATGAAGAAAATGTTTTAGAACACCGAACCATGTGCTGTAGACTTTTACAACAAAAACAAGATTAGCCCAAGCCCTGATATTTTTTCTCCCTTTATTTTAACCAAGCCCAGTGAACCAAAAGAGATCCTTTTTTTTTTCTCACAGCGGAGAAATAAGTGTGAAAACTATTTTGAAGGTATTCTAAATTTGAAAAATGTAAAATGCAATTTATTTTTAGAAATTTCCAAAACTAATGAATGGGTAATACTAAGGCAACAACTGCTCTGAGTGTGATGTCATAGTTGTACAATGATATCATGTTATTACAGGACTGAGGCAAGAACTTGGAGATACATGGATTAAAAGATCCCGATATTAGCATTGATGGATTTAAAAACAGCTCCTTGTCTGTAGACGAGGGAACATGGTTTGAAGCTCATTTTATTATTTAATGTGCTTATAGAGGCAGATAGAACGGCATTATGTCCAATGTATTTATACCTACGGGTTTTCACAAAGTACCACGCATTTTAACCAATCACCACTCATCCTTTAGAGCCTTTAATATCTCATTTTTGAGATATTAAAGGTTTTGACTGTGAGACAGTCAAAACTTTGCACAAGTCGATGAGTACAAATATTTGATGCTGTTTGACCAAAGCACAAAAACACAATTTTAATAACCACACATGCACTTATCATCATGACTTATTCACAATATTTGACTGCACTTTACATTAAACACAAGTACGCACTAATTGCTGCATGAAACTTGCATCGCTCCGTCTGTTGCACATAATTAGCTCATTATGTTGTTTTTCTAAGTTTTGACAACCTCCCACAGCCAATAGTTAATCACAGCTACCACACATATGTACATGTTTCGCAGAGGTGGAAAGTCTCTGGTTTAGGCTTTCTTACCCGGGACATGACCACTGTGTCCCTTGTCTCAGCAGAGTAGTCCAAAAAACCTTTGATTTCTTAGCCACCAGTGGTTGTAAAGAGCTCTGGAGAGTAGCTTCAGTGACAGACTTATTCACCCCCCGCTGTGTGAAGGAGAGGTTCCGCAGGTCTTTCCTTCCTGCAGCTGTCAGACTGTATAATGAGAACTGCTGAGTCTATACACGTGCCGCTGACCTGTTCTGATAACACACCAGTCTCTTTACTTTTTTTCCTCCAGTTTTACTTAATTTGATTGAGCTAATATTCTAAATAATAAAGATTACCTTCAGTTTTTTTCTTACTGTGAATACGTATGCATTTCCTGTTTTATTAAGTATTTTACTTTACACAAACCATTCTATAAACGGTAAAACATCTCATAAGATCATAGCCCACAATTCAACTTTGAGCTTTTGCTCCATCCCTACACTACAAAAAGTGCTGAAACTGACAACAAAAATACTAAAATTGGGCAAGAAGTATCTTAATTTGAGCACATTTTGCAAACAGAATTTGCCAAGCTAAGTTATCTTGTTTTATAAAGATTCAATAATTTTTTCCCTTGGAATGAGAAAACCTCCTGTGGGCCCACCACCTGCAGAGGGGTCCGTGGTGAAGCGGTGCTGAGAGGACTGGGCGGCAGTCGAAGGCGGAGACCTCGGCGACCCAGTCCGCACACACAACATCTGGCTCTTGGGACGTGGAACGTCACCTCACTGGGGGGGAAGGAGCCCGAGCTCGTGGGGGAGGTTGAGCGATACCGACTAGAGATAGTCGGCCTCACCTCCACACACAGCTTGGGCTCTGGAACCCAACTCCTTGAGAGGGGTTGGACGCTCCACTTTTCTGGAGTTTCCCGCGGGGAGAGGCGGCGAGCTGGGGTGGCCATTCTCATTGCCCCCCATCTCAGCCGCCACGTGTTGGAGTTCTCCCCGGTGAATGAGAGGGTCGCGTCCCTCCGCCTCCGGGTGGGGGACAAGTCTCTCACTGTTGTGACGGCCTACGGGCCTAACGGCAGTGTAGAGTACCCGGCCTTCTTGGAGTCCTTGGGAGGGGTACTGGACGGTGCACCGCCCGGGGACTCCGTTATTCTCCTCGGGGACTTCAACGCCCATGTGGGAAACGCCAGTGACACTTGGAGAGGGGTGATCGGGAAGAGCGGCCCCCCTGATCTGAACCCGAGCGGTGTTCAGTTGTTGGACTTCTGTGCCAGTCGCGGTTTGTCCATCACGAACACCATGTTCGAGCACAAGGGTGTCCACCAGTGCACGTGGCACCAGGACACCCTAGGCCGGAGGTCGATGATCGACTTTGTTGTCGTATCATCTGACCTTCGACCGCGTGTCTCGGACACTCGGGTAAAGAGAGGGGCGGAGCTGTCAACCGATCATCACCTGGTCGTGAGTTGGATCCGCTGGCAGGGGAAGAAGCCGGTCAGACCTGGCAGACCCAAGCGTATAGTGAGGGTCTGCTGGGAACGTCTCGCTGAGCCCCCTGTCAGACGGACTTTCAACTCACACCTCCGGGAGAGTTTCTCCCAGGTCCCGGCGGAGGAGGGGGACATGGAGTCCGAGTGGACCATGTTCTCTGCCTCAATCGCAGATGCGGCGGCTCGTAGCTGTGGTCGCAAGGTCTCTGGTGCTGGTCCCGGCGGCAACCCCCGAACCCGGTGGTGGACACCGGCAGTAAGGGATGCTGTCAGGCTGAAGAAGGAGTCCTATCGAGCCATGATGGTTCGGGGGACTCCTGAGGCAGCTGTCCAGTACCGGCAGGCCAAGCGTGCCGCGGCCCGGGCTGTTGCAGAGGCAAAAACCCGGGACTGGGAGGAGTTCGGAGAGTCCATGGAGCATGACTATCGGTTGGCCTCGAAGAGATTCTGGCAAACCATCCGACGCCTGAGGAGGGGGAAGCAGTTCTTTGCCAACACCATGTACGGTGCGTGTGGAGAGCTGCTGACCTCGACTGGGGATATTGTCGGGCGGTGGAAGGAATACTTTGAGGTTCTCCTCAATCCCCCCGTCACGTCCTCCGTTACAGAGGCAGAGGCTGAGGATGTTGGGGCGGGTACATCCATCTCCCTGGCTGAGGTCACCAAGGTGGTTGGTAGCCTCCATGGTGGCAAGGCTCCGGGTGTGGATGAGATCCGCCCTGACTATCTAAAGTCTCTGGATGTTGTAGGACTGTCTTGGCTGACACGTCTCTGCAACATCGCGTGGCGATCGGGGGCAGTGCCAATGGAGTGGCAGACCGGGGTGGTGGTCCCTCTCTACAAGAAGGGGGACCGGAGGGTGTGTTCCAATTATCGTGGGATCACACTCCTCAGCCTCCCCGGTAAGGTCTACTCCAAGGTACTGGAGAGGAGGCTACGGCCGATGGTCGAATCTCGGATCCAGGAGGAGCAGTGTGGTTTTCGTCCCGGTCGCGGAACACTGGACCAGCTCTATACTCTCCATCGGATACTCGAGGGTTCATGGGAGTTCGCCCAACCTGTCCACATGTGCTTTGTGGATTTGGAGAAGGCGTTCGACTGTGTTCCCCGGGGTGTCCTTTGGGGGGTTCTCCGGGAGTACGGGGTCGGAGGTCCTCTGCTGAGGGCCATCCGATCCCTGTATGACCGGAGCCAGAGCTGTGTTCGCATTGCAGTAAGTCAGACCTGTTCCCGGTGAATGTTGGCCTCCGACAGGGCTGCCCTTTGTCACCGGTTCTGTTCACTGTATTTATGGACAGAATATCTAGGCGCAGCCAGGGGTCGGAGGGGGTCCGGTTCGGAGACCACAGGATTTCATCTCTGCTGTTTGCGGACGATGTTGTCCTGTTGGCTCCAACGAACCAGGACCTGCAGCATGCACGGGCGGTTTGCAGCCGAGTGTGAAGCGGCTGGGATGAGAATCAGCACCTCCAAATCCGAGGCCATGGTGCTCGACCGGAAAAAGGTGCCTTGCCCTCTACAGGTGGGTGGAGAGGTCCTTCCTCAAGTGGAGGAGTTCAAGTATCTCGGGGTCTTGTTCACGAGTGAGGGAAGAATGGAGCGTGAGATTGACAGGCGGATCGGTGCAGCGTGCGCAGTTATGCGGTCGCTGTATCGGACCGTTGTGGTGAAGAGGGAGCTGAGCCGAAAGGCAAAGCTCTCGATTTACCGGTCAATCTTTGTTCCCTCCCTCACCTATGGTCATGAGCTTTGGGTAATGACCGAAAGAACGAGATCGCGGATACAAGCGCGGTCGAAATGAGCTTCCTCCGCAGAGTGGCTGGGCGCTCCCTTAGAGATAGGGTGAGGAGCTCAGTCACACGGGAGGAGCTCGGAGTAGAGCCGCTGCTTCTCCACGTCGAGAGGAACCAGTTGAGGTGGCTCGGGCATCTGTTCCGGATGCCTCCTGGACGCCTCCCTGGGGAGGTGTTCCGGGCACGTCCCACCGGGAGGAGGCCCCGCGGAAGACCTAGGACACGCTGGAGGGACTATGTCTCTCAGCTGGCCTGGGAACGCCTTGGGGTCCCCCCGGATGAGCTGGAGGAATTGTGTGTGGATAGGGAAGTCTGGGCGTCTCTGCTTAGACTGCTGCCCCCGCGACCCGGCAACGGATAAAGCGGAAGAAAATGGATGGATGGATGGATGGATGGAATGAGAAAATAAATTAACAGATCTTATTAAAAAAAAACTAAAAGGCTTTGTCCCGTTGACCAATCTTATTTTCAGACAGTCAGTATGTACTCAAATTAAGATTAAAAAAAATACTTAATTCAAGCAATTATCACCTCATATTTTATACATTTTTGCCGTGTATTACCTACAGTCACTTTTTTTCTGCACATTTTTACAGCGTATTTGCGTTTTGCTCTGCTCTTTGCTCTTCCTTCCACTAGACTTTTTACCCAATAATCAGCCATGTTGTTGGTGCGTGGTCGCGCTGCACATCCGCCCCGGTGGACAGGGACGTGTGGGAGGACAGGTGCCTGCTCACTGGCTGTATTGACTGGGATGGGTGCAGTGGTTGTGGCTGGCTGCGTCCCTGAAGCCAGTATTGACACGGGGGTTCTGGTGTGGATAGCAGGGTTACGCGACTAGGACACTCCTCTTTTGATTAATTGAGGACTCGCTTTGATTAATGATGCCTTTAGCCATGCACTCTCTTCGGCCGAGAGAGAAAAACTTTTCTACAATAGTATAGGTTGTTGGAAGTTCACATTATGCAAAACAATCAGGAGGGAATGTGGGAATTGTGAGGTTGGACAGATACAGTATATGTATAATATAATCTGTATGCACTTGGGCGTTAATTGCTTTTTGTAAGTGTCTAAAATTGAGGTAGAAATAGATTTCAAATGATCAGGGTTGGGTATATCCTTGATATATAAAGATACAAGGAAATTTCAATTTTATACGTTTTCTTTTTCTAAATTATACAAGCCACCTTGATATTCGTGATGACTCAATGCCAATCTGTCTTTAAGAAAAGAAAGCCACCAATTTTTAAGCAGATATTTGTCACTTCCGGGTTGGGGAGTGGGCCTAAATATTGCATCCTCTTGTGCAAGATATACTTGAATGTATATACGTCTGCAGATAATTCAGTGATATACTGCAAGCATATTACGGTAATAAGTTTGAGGGTTCTACACACACATAATTATTCAAACTTTTTACATGGGTTTTCCATGTTATATATTTTTTTAGCTTCAAAGTTAGCTACTCCAGCATTACTTGTCATGGATGTCATTTTTAGTTCCTGTTTTATTATGATCTGATCTAGTGTGTCTTTTTGAGTTTTATTCTTGTTCTGCTGATTGCCCCTGTCTCCCAGTTGAATTACCTGTGCTCTTTCCTTCTTGTTGTCAGTCCATTGTGTGTTTGTTCCCCCAGTTCTTGTCTTTGTCTTTAGTTCCTGTATTTTACATTCAGTTGAGTTTTGTTTTTGGATTATTGTTTAATTAACAACCTGAATGCATGGGAGGGGATTGGATTAATTTTTTTTTTTTTTTTTGCTTCGACCAATCCCTTTTTGAAACAGGCACAGGTATATCATACAGTGTATCTTGTGCATGTTTGCAATAAATACATTAATAAACTATAATAATAATATATATTTTTTTTGCAGAATTGAATGTTGGAGTTATGTCACTTTTTTAAACGTGACTTTACTCCACAACCAATAATCCAAGACCAAGCAAATCATTATGGATGCTTTATAGATGGTCAGTGTTTGTAATCAGCTCCTCTCCAGTCGCCGGGTAACTTCCAGAGGAGCATCACTGGGCGGGACTCTAGTGTGGGCTAATACCTGCAGTCTTCGCAGCTGTGGCGCGCCTCAGCAGACAGCCGATCATGGCGTGATTTATGACGCTGACCGGTGGCTGCGTGGTGCGGGCTAATGACACATACACTAAAGTCATTGATTTGTATGAATGCCCTCCGCTCTTCATCTATCACAATTTAATGTTGGGAGTTTGCAATGCAGAGGTGGAGGAGAGGAGAGGAGGCTCGGCGGGAAAAAAAGTGGGAAAAGAGCAAACCACGACAAGAGCTGAGGTGAGCGCGTTTTTACAGAAGTGGAAATTAGAAGAAGATGGTTCCAGAAGCACTCCACTGAGATACAGGCCAGGAGTTGTTGCTCTGAAAGCTTTTACTTGACTTTTTATGCAAACTTTCAAGAGATTTTAACCATTGTATATTGGTTCAGTTCTAATTTACCCACTCAAAGTCTATTAATTGCGAACCGTGCTCTCCTGCGTTCGAGGGGTCACATCCCCAATGAATCCCACAGTGCATTGTACAGGGTGGATTTTTGGCGTGTGAAAGAACAGTAATGTAAGTGAGTTTCTATGGCGCCTTGAGTCACAAAGTATTTTACGATTGTTGTTTTTGGGCATTTGTCTCTTACTCCTCTCAGAGATGGAAGCGGGGTCGCTGTACAGGAGGCACATGCCAGACCTATTGTACATGTTTTTAGTGGTAGGGGAAACCAGACCACATGGAGGAAACTTATGCAGACACGGGAAGAACATGCAAACTCCACTCAGAAAGAACTGGAGGCGGAATCGAAGCCAGGACTTTCTTGCAGTGAAAACACAAGCACTTGCCCAGATCTTTTAAAATAAATGTTGCTTGCCACTTTGTTAAGTATTTTTTGAAGGTGACATATTGCATATTATTTTTACTTTCAAAGTTTCAAATGTGGTTAAGTGTCGTGAGAAAAAGACAAATTTCAATCCAAATTCCACCCATATTTTCCATGACAAATCTAAAAGTTGGATATAGATGGCGTTAAAAAACAAGAGCTGTACGAACATAAATGGAATCGAGCTTGGTCCACATACTTTGGCAGGACTCGGGACAGCACTCGGTCACCTCTGGGTCCTCGTCGGGCATGGGGCTGTGCGGAGATGAGGCAGTGCAGATGGAAGCGTGACTCACCGCTGGCAGAACATGCTTCTGCGCGGAAGGCGGATGTAAACAGTTCTGTCAGTTATGATAATCTGAGCCAGGGTTTAGTGCAGACAATAACAGCAGACGGCAACAGGAAGACAACCTGTCCCACATCTGCAGCTTCACCTGTAAACAACTCTCGGCCGTGGACTGGATACATGTGCTGTACGTGCAACCGCTCGATGTGAATTTAAAGAAGTGTCTGAGTTTCAATGATGATGTAATTGTTTTGATCTCGTGTGTGTGTGTCTTGTATTATCTGGGCGGCATGATGGCTGAGTGGGTAGGGCTCTCTCTTCTCAAATAGAAGGTCCTGGGTTTGAATTCCAGTTGGAACAGGGCCATTCTGAGTGGAGCTTGCATGTTCTCCCCGTGTCTGCGTTGATTTTCTCCGGGTACTCCGGTTTCCCCTACAACTAAAAACATGTACAATTGGTCTGGCATTCACCTCCTGTACTGGCAACCCCGCTCCCATCTCTGTGTAGAGTGTGAGACAGATGCCCACAATTGTAAACTGCTTTGTGACTCTGGTTTGTGAAAGGCGGTATAAAAATAAAGATTACTTACTTACTTAGACCATCCTTTCAATTGAATTTATTTTTGTACAGCCCTAAGTCACAAGAGTAGTTTTTTCTTTAAAAAAACGTTGAATTTGTCAACACATATCAGAGAATCAAACGGCTTTGTGTTTTTTATCATTGCATTTTTTGTGTTTGAACTGGAATACAGAACATACACTCACACAAGATCAAAACAATAACGTCATTGCTGAAACTCAGACACAGCGGGGGTTTTTTTCATTCATATTGAGCAGTTGTACGTGAAGAAAAAGACTAATGTTTGGGATCGTGTCACACAGACAGAAGACATGTTTTATTGTCGATGGTAGACGAGACACCAACAAAGATTCACAAAATGCAAGTGATAATAAACAGCATGGAGTAATGGAGACCTCCAATCAGCATTTGCAACAGTGCCGGCAGCTTCGGCCTTGAGACCAAAACATTCAAGTGGAAATGGACCAGTTCCCGCATGTGTTGTAATGATGAATTCACCTTTAACCACAGTTGCTTCAAAGTTGCTTCAAAAATATCTGAAGTGGCCGATGACCAATTTTCATAAATACAGTCCATAAATATTGTTGAGTGTCCTGGATCATCACCACTGTCTTTGGACCCTCCTGCATCAGCAACTAACAACTCTAAAAACCCAGTGGAAGAAAATGAGAAACCCACATTGAGGGAGAGATCCGCTCCCTCAGATGGACCGACTCCAGAACCAGGACTCGGGCTTTTGTTTTGTTCTTTTGTTCTTTGTAAAATTATGTTGTCTTCATGATCTAAATACATACAGTCAAATAAGGGATATAACAAATACATTAAAATATATAAATACACTAAAATACAACTTTATGAATTTGTTGAAATAGGAATAACAAGTAAGTTCCCATTTTTATCACACTGTGCTTTAAACTACGTATGATAAAACTGGACTTACCTTTTTCATTAGCAGTAACAATGAGTCAAAATGCACTCAAATTAAAGTAAATACTACTTAAATGTCTCCTTTTCTGATTTTCTAAGATGTATGAACACCAATTACACAAATACTGTGTTTCTATGTTTTTTTAAATTGTTTTATTTTAGGCCTCTACAAGATGGTTGAGATGCAGTTTGATGGTAAAAGTGCCTAAAACCAAGTTCCAAAGTTCTAGTAGATCCAGTCACTCAAAAAGTGATCCACCAAATGTTTGAGGAAACCATTAAAGGGTTCACCTTGTGTGCTACAAGATTATTTTCTGTTTGTAAAGAAATAGTGTTTTCTAAATTAACGCAGTCCATGTGATTGGTTAATTGCATTTAATTGTGATTCATGCAGACCTCATTGTATTTTTCTTTAAATGTTGTCACTGCTGCTCAGTCTGAACATCCACAAAATGCCCAAATGTTATTGCGTTCCCTCCGCATGAATCCCAGACTGGAAGCACCTGTGGAATCCCAACACAGAGAAACAGAGACAGAGCTGACATTTGCCGTTTCCCTTCTTAATTACAGCAATCTGGGCCTGATGCCGGTGCATGTGCGGACGGTAATACAGTTGGATCTTGAAAATTCAGACTTGTATGTTTGAGGAATGTCAAACACACTTAATTGGAAGGGCCTTTCTGTGCTCATTTGCATTTACCGAAACACAACAGAAGGCGCCAATGCATTTCACTGGGACACAAAACAAACAGCCTACAATGAAGTGGTGCTGGAGGAAGACAGGCAAAACTGACAGGACATAAACATTTTTACTTTTTCTTAACTGCAAATTAAGCTCTCATTACCCCAGTCACAGCTGAAACAAAAGGTCCTGTTCTCAACTTTTCTCAGCCGCCAAAGCTAAATACTTGTTTCATTTTCACAAAGAAATGCCGGCACAACTGTTAACGCTTGGGCTTCACAGTAAGAAGGTCTTGGGTTCGATTCCACAGGAGTTTCCGTCCGTGTGGAGTAAGAGAAAAAAATCAGACAATTGTAAAGCGCTTCCTGATTGATACGCTATTTACTGTATGAATAGACCTGGCCATCTCTTTGGAAAATTCACAAAATGATGTATTTAAATTACATAAAAAACTAAAATAGGGATTTATTTAAGCACTGAAATATTTGTGTATAAATTGTGGTGAACAATTTCTTCTATGTTCTACTGTGTGTGTGCTGCATCCAAAAATAATGTATTTTTACCAATCATTTTGGTATTTTTATCACTACAAGGAAAAGACACAGTAACCCAGTCACCTTCTTGCGTCTCAGAAAGAAGGTCCTGGGTTCTAATTCCAGTCGGAACAAGGTTTTTGAGTGGAATTTGCATGTTCTCCTTGTGTCTGTGTAGGTTTCCCTCTGGGTGCTTCGGTTTTCCCTAGCACTACAAACATGTACAATAGGTATAAATCTTCCAGCTCTGGTACCCCCTGACCAGGCCGAGCATCAACATCTGCAGCTCAGTCTTGGGCCCTGTACAATGCCAACCACTTCTCCTGACAGATGCCCCAGTGGCTTTGCAGGATGGGTCAAATGCAGAGGACAAAGTTCCAGAGGATAAGTTCCAGAGGACAAAAAAACAAAGTTTAAATACCTGTTGAAGCTACACAGGTCTGCTCTCTCTCAGAGCCATCCATTCCAAGTACTGTACGTCGATAAAATAGATAAATACCAGACTTATTAGTCCTACCTGTTGAATGTACTCTTTAATTAAAACCCCCAACATGCACATCTCACTTAAACAAAAAACCAAAAAACATCCGCCCCACTCCACTTAAGCAGCGGCGTCTTGATTGCCAGCGGCCCGTAAGCTGGCGTGAGCGGCGATAACGAGACGTGGCGGCACTTCTCTCAGCTTTTCTCCGCGCACAGGGAACATTTGTCATTTAGACGTCTCTCCGGTCTGAGCGTCTGTCAGCCAAACGCTCCACGACGATGGCAGACGGATCCAATTACCGGCCGCGGACATCTCTAACAAGGTGCCAAGGAAAAGGCTGCCTGGACAAACAACAGCGAGCCCATAATGAGAAGCCCTCATTTGAGTGATTTGAGTCTTCTCCCTCCATTGAAATCCCCGACAAAATATGCAGGGTTACTTTTATTCATCTTGTGTTTTGTTTTGCCCATCGCTTTCAAAGTCTTGTCCCGACTTTTTTACCGACAGTGAGTGAGGGGACTTAATGGCATAAAAAGTGTGTACCGACTTAAGTTTAGCATAAAACTTCCAGGAGAGAGCTCAAACTTGGGAAAATGCGCGATTATAAATCATTCCCTCGGCAAGGTTGTCAATACAAATGATACAAATAACAACACAACATTGTCGGAAGAATCGCTTTGGAGGAGCTGCTCATTTGGCCTCATTCCCTCGCATAGCTAACCAGGCCGCGGATTGTCAATGGCTGGGTTCGGATCAATGCGCCAGAGCTTTGTGCGCGCTATCGATTTCCCAACTCCCAGATATCACCGCGACTCTTCATCAACAAAAGCACTTTGTCCTTCCCAAATAATCCGATCGAAGGCTCCTCTCTCCTGAGACCGGAGTGACCACAAAGCTCCCACATCCGTGCTCTATCCCGTATCCCCCCCCAACATTCTTTCCCAGCCTGGCGTCGCTAGTGCTGCTGCTGGCCCTCGGGGGGATTTGGAAGCGTTTCGGCCCGCTTCTAGTGAGTGAGACGCGTGTCGGACAAACGAGTGCATGTTAAAAACCTGGGTGTGAATGTATAATAAATATGAATTGATCCAAAATGCCACGTGTGACACTGTATGAATCAAGTTATTAGCTCGACTGCCATTACGAACGAGAGACTGGTGTCAGTGGGATTCTACATGGGATTCAGGAACATGGCAACACAAAACACCTGAGTGGATGTGAAAAACAAAAATACGTATTATTTTATTCAGGTTCATACAGGATTCAGTTGTTTGACATTAATACATCGATACACATTTTTGGGAAGAAGTATGACTTATGAACTCCAATCCCATCTACACACACACATAGCTTTTGGTGACCTTGGTCTGTAAAAATGTAAATGTATAAATAGATATGACTTACTTACTTACTTACATTCACTTACGGCTGCCTGGTCAATAACACGACAACAACTATAAATGATACAACCCATGGCAGCTGCAAATAATTAGTCGAGGTACGTCATTTTCAAATCACAAATATAATATAATAAAATCCTTGCGTTGCTTTGTTTTGGTGCTGCTGATAGTTTCCACAGTCATGCATTTTTGGCCCCACAACTTTGGATCAGATTTTTCATATCAAAAAGTGAAAAAAGAGGACCCCCCTTATGTAGCCAACCATATAATATTGTATGTATTTTTCAATGCACACAACACTTTCTAAATGGCACATGGCATTATTCATTCTTCACTTCTTACACAGTGATGGTGAACTACTAC